CAAAGCAGACACCAAATACGTTTAAGAAATGATACACAATCCGAAAAATTGTAATGTAGAGTAAATTAAGCCTAAAATCTCAGGATAGACCAAAAATAAACAAACAAAAAAAGCCCTGAAAATAGGTTTAGAAAGTCGGAAGTGTATCTGCTACTTTTCTTATTTTGCATGGGGGTCATGAGAAATGTAGTGTTTTATTTTTTATATTGATACTAAACATGTGTGCATGTTTTAAAGAAAAACTCTTAAAGCTATCTTTTAGCAGATCAAAAATTAGAATCAATATTTTTCAAAATTCTATAGTAAAAAGAAAACAAAATCTATAAGGCAAGACACCATAAAAAAAAAGAACACTTAAACTATGTTTTAAAAAAATCTAATTAGAAAGTAAGTACTAGTTATGAAAATAAATACACAGTTTTCACTTTCCTGCTAAACACAAAGACTCCAAATTGGCCAAAAGAAGGTTGGCCCAAATAATCTGCCCAATGTTTAAATTTTTAAATTAACTGCATTTACAAATGATGTACCAACGGAAGTAAACAAAGGCTAAACTTTTTATTTTTTAATGAACAGGCTGGACTCAGTGGTTCAGCCTATAATCCCAGCACTTTGGGAGGCCAAGGCAAGAGGATTGCCTGAACCCGTGAATTCGAAACCAGCCAGGCAACTTAGCAAGATCTCATCTCTACAATAAATTTTAAAAAAATTAGCCGGGCATGGTAACGCGTCTGTAGTTCCTGTTACTTGGAAGGCAGAGGCGGAAGGATCGCCAGAGCCCAGTAGGTCAACACTGGGGTGGTCGTGAGCGTGCCACTGCACTCTAGCCTGGGTGATGGAGTAAGACTCCAACTCAGAAATAAATAAATAAATAAATAAAATAAAATGAACAAAACATGTCAAGGAAACAGGAACACAAGAAAGCAAGGATGGCATTGTTCGTTAGACAATGAGAGGACACTTCTGTTACCAAGTACTAAAACCAATTATAGAGCAATTATATAATGGAAAATAGTTTAGTAATGACATAATAAATGGATCAGATGAACAGAAATAGAACTTAGTATATAATAATAGTATAACTTGGTCTACTACAAAGGTAGCCTTATAAATCAATGAAGACAAAGGATTGTGTAAACATTTAAATACAAAAACAATTGGTGATTTAGAAAAAGAAGTAATTCCTTATGTTATACCATATGCTAAAATAATTCCAGGGCAGTGTAAAATTAAACCACAAAAGATCAAGAAGAAAACATAACTGTCTTTATTTCATCTCAAACAAGGTCTTTCCAAGTACGTATCTGTATGCTAATAATATCCCACTATAAACAAAATGCAAGGCAAATGACAGACTGAGGAAAAGTATTTGTAACAAAATAAAAATAATTAAGGAAAGGATAAATACTCCCACATATATGGGCAAAAGACATGATTAGACCATTCCCATACACACCCCCCGAATATAAACATTCACTAAAAAAACTCACTATCACCAACAATAAAAGAAATACAAATGAACACAACTATTTAATAACTTGGAAGAGTAAATTTATATAGATTTTATGGAAGGTAATTTGGCAATACCACAAACCTTAAACTTGTTCTTGACCTTTTTGAGAATTCATATTAAGGAAATAATAAAATAAGTGCACAGACAGTTCCCAATTTAAGATGGCTCAACTTAGCTATTTTTCTACTTCACAGTGTGCGAAAGAGGTATGAAAGAGACAGGTATTCAGTACAAAGCAGTATGACACCCTCGAGATGCTGGGCAGTAGCAGCAAGCCACAGCTCTCAGTAAGCCACAAGATCGTAAGGTTAAGAAACCAGTACTCCACAGTGGACTGTGTTGCCAGATGATTTTGTAGACTAATATGAGTGTTCTGAGCACATTTAAGGTAGGCTAGGTGAAGCTATGATGTTCAGCAGGTTACATGTATTAAATGCATTTTTGACTTAATATTTTCAACTTATGATAGATTCATCAGGACATACTCCAATTGTAAGTAGAGGAACATCTGCACCAAGATTTTTGCCCCAAGTGTGGGGGAGGAACACAGTAGTTATAGCCTGGATAGCGTATAAAACCCAGCCTTGCCACTTGGGTGACCACAATAAAATGCCACAATAAAATGACATCAATAAAAGTGCCTTTTAGAGCTTCCTAAGGAACCAAAGAGATAATAACGTAATACCTACTTGATCCACGGTAAGTACTGGTCCATGGTAAGCAAGTACCCAGTAACTATTAGGCAGTAGCAATAGTAGACTGGTGATATATATCTACATCACTGCATTATAGGTTCAAAATTAGAGGAACATCTGCACCAAGATTATCTAATTCCAGGTTCATGCCTGTAATTCTAGCACATTGAGAGGTAGAGGTGGGAGGATTGCTTGAGATCAGGTGTTCCAGACCAGTCTGGGCCACACAGGGAGACACTGTCTCTACAAAAAAGGAAAAAAATTAGCCAGGCCTGGTGGCACGTGCCTGTAGTCCCAGCTACTTGGGAGGCTGAGGTCAAAGAATCATCTGAAGCCAGGCTCGGTGGCTCCGCCTGTAATCCCGCACCTTTGGGAGGCTGAGGTTGGGTGGATTGCCTGAGTCTGTGGGTTCGAGACCCGCCTGGGTAACTTGGCGAGACCTCATCTCTCCAATAAATCAAAATGAGCCGAGCGTGGTAGCGCGCGCCTGTAGTTCCAGCTGCTTGGAAGGCTGAGGCAGAAGGATCGCCGAGGCAGAAGGATCGCCGGAGCCCAGCAGGTCAAGGCTGCGGTGGCCGGGAGTGGCCACTGCACTCCAGTCTGGGTTACAGAGTGAGACTCCAACTCCAAAAAAAAAAAAAAAAGAATCATCTGAGCCCAGGAGGTAGAGGCTGTGGTGAGCTATGATTGTGTCACTGCACTCCAGCCTGGGCAACAGAGACTCCAACTTAAAAAAAAAAAAAAAAAACCTCTTATCTAAAATGTTGCCAGCAAGATGTGCTTCAGAATTAGGACCTTTTTGGATATTAAAAGAAAATAACAGTGCATTTACCTAACTAGGTCTGAGACAGAACCTGATAATTTTACCATTCCTATAGTTACAGATATGAATATTCATTTTAAGTGAGATAAACATCAGTTCAAGTTTTGCAGTCAAATAAGTTTTGAAAAAGCTTTCACTTTTCAAAGTTTTCTAGAGTTCAAGTTTCAAAGTTTTCTAGAGTTCAAGAGGGATGGAGAATCTGTATTTATAATAGAAAAACATTAGCCTCTATCTAAATGTATAATAATAAGGGGTAGGTTAAATACTTTACAATATATTCATAAAACAGAAAACTCAGTTATAAAGTTACTTTTTCAAAGAATATGTAACAAAGTATGAAAATGTTCATGAATACTAGGTAAAAAAAAGATAAAAATATATGCGCTATGAATTCCACTTTGTAAAAGTAAATTATATAGATGTTTATAATTCCAGAACAAAAGATTGCAACCTACACCAGGATATTAAATTAGCCACACTATGTTCTTTTATACTTCTCTGTATTTTCTAACTTTTTATGACGATTAGGACAAATGATTTTTAAGTAATTTATGGTTGAGGCTCTTGTACAAGACTAGGTTAGTTATTACTCTAGAGGATTAATGAAGTTGATCTTTGCCTTCAGGGAATCTACAGTCTAATTCCTGAAGAGCTCTGGGCAATACCCAGTCCTCTCTGCTCTGGACTATATTTCATTCTCTATCTATGATTCCTGCTGGTACCCCAGGTCAGCTTGACTCAGGCATCAAGACTTTATACACTTCGACAAAATGAAACACTGGTGACCTTGCAAGTCAGTGGTAAAAAACAGCATCAGTGGTACAATTAGAACTCGATTCAGCCCATGCCATTATTTAAAGGAGTTACAAAAACAATAATAATGTAGGGCCTATTCAACTGTGTTTGATTTTTGCTCTTTTTCACTGTACTCATCAAATTTCAATCATTTAAGAAATTGTTGGGGGAAGAGGAAGGAGACTTTGCCTTTGTTCCAGTGTTTCCCCTGAGTAAAAGGATATAAACTTGACAGGCCCAGCAATGAAAGTCTTATTTATTCTGTGGAGTAAATGGGATGCTAAAAGGGATCATGACATTGGAAGGGGCCCTTCGTGGAGGGGACAAGCAACAATCCTTCTCACCTAGCAGGCCATTCCCCAGTGCTTAAGGGGTGGGCCTTTGGCCAGAGATTTGAAGGGCTCAGTTCACATGCAGTATGAGTATTCCTAACACCCAGGTGGTCTTCTGTGAACTCCTCCAGGATTTGGAATTCCTTACTGGTTTAATACACAGTCTAAAAGTGTATGACAAAAGTGACAGATCATTATGGGCTGCTCTGAGCCTCAGTTCTGAATTTGGAGCAAAAGTTAAATAAATGATCAACCAACACCTAATCACCTAAAGGACCAGAAGGTCATAGAGTCCAATAGTATTTTCAAACTATCTCTGAGAGCAAGAGAAATATGTGAGCAAAGCATTTGCCACACAGAAATCATAGCCAACTATGAAGTTAAATAAGAAGTTAGTTGGGCGCAGTGGTTCATGCCTATAATCCCAGGGCTTTGGAAGGCTGGGTTTGAGACCAGCCTGGGCAACATGGCGAGACCTTGTCTCTACAATAAAAATTTAAAAATTAGCTACTTGAAGTAGTTCCAGCTACTTGAAGCAGAAGGACCACCTGAGCCCAACAGGTTGAGGTTGCGGTGGCCGTGAGCGTACCACTGCACTCCAGCCTAGGTGACAGAGTGAGACTCCAACCCAAAAAAAAAAAAAAAAAGTTAATTCTCTCAGCTTAATCTCTCAGAAAATTACTTGTTTGCAGGGCAAATTATCCACTCAAGATAATTTTTTATTTGAAGGTGCTAATCCTTCCCTCCTGCTTCCTGTCTCCCTCCTTTCCCTTCTCCCAACTCAAAGAAGAGGAATAGTCCTCTATGTAATAATAACCTTTCAGGAAAAAGGGTTGACTTACCCTATCCCAGCTGAAACACAGGCCAAGCCGATCAAGCTGTTTCCGCATATGTTTAATGTTACTGTGAAACAAAGGAAAGAAAGTTTGGATTTTAGAGAGGAGTTAAAGTCATAAACAAACCACATTTTGAATGTAAAGGGAAACTGAAAAAAAAATCTAAATTATGCAAAAGGGCTTTAAATGTTGCTTTGTCCCGGCAGAAAAATTAACCACCAAGAATCATCAAATACCAACAAATTAGAAGACGCCCATTTTTTGGACACATACAGAATCCACTAGAAACCACAATGGATCTTTGGCTAGGACTGCTTCTTCCCCTGGCAACCCCACTGGCATCCCCACTGACATATACACTCCTGGCCCATCCAGATGTCCTATTCTGCAAGCATTTAAGGCATATTATTTACGTCAGGCATTTATAAGCTTAAAAGTGGCTGAAAACAAATGCCTTAATGCATAAATTATGGGAATCCAAAAGAAAGTGCTTTGTCAATCAAAATCTAAAACTGTCCAACAATTGAGAAATAGGGAGAGAAGTGAGTTAATCAACTTGTAAAATGGAATAAGGACTAACTCATTTCTACCTCATCCTCTTTCAATTCAAGCAGACAGAACGTACGAAAAGCCAAGAAAACGTCCTCTATGTGATCTCTGTTTAGTTAATAATAGCTTATTTATTCCCAGGCCCTGTACCAAGCACTTTGCAGAAAAATGATTAATCTTTATCCAGCCATATGAGGTAGGAACTATGACTATCCTTCTTTTACAGATAAGTAAACTGAGGCACAGAGAGGTTAAGAAATTTGCTTAAGTTAATCAGCTAGCAAGAAGACAAGGCAGAATTTGCTACTATGTGGCCAGACTCAAGAGCCATTTTCTCAACCACTACGCTTCAGTAGAAAAGCTGGCAAACTTTTTCTGTAAAGGGCCAGATGGTAAATGTTTTCAGCTTTGTGAGCTATACAGTCTCTATCACAACTATTCAGCTCTGCTGCTGTTTCATGAAAGCAGCCATGGATGATATATAAACAAATGGTTGTGACTATTCCAATAAAACTTTATTTATAGAAACAGGCAGGGCCAGATTTAGTTCACAGGTCATAGTTTGCCAACCCTTGGTCTGGCATATATCAAACTCATGCCATATTTGATTGATCTTATTTGAATCATCATTTCCTCCTTTTTTTCCCCCATCAGTCTCAGTAATCAAGAAGTTAACATAATTGAAAAGGAAAAAACTAGGGGTTAGGAAGAAACAAGAGACATGGATATAGTAATAGAAGTGCAGTAGAAGTTTTTTACAATGTAGCCTTGGGTACAATGAAGCAAAGGGAGGTGAAAGATCCTGGGGGTAGGCCCTGGAACTTCTCTCTCTCTTTTTTTGAGTTGGAGTCTCACTCTGTCTGCACTCAGCCTGGAGTGCAGTAGCACGATCACAGCTCACTGCAATCTCAACCTCCTGGGCTAAGGTGATCCTTCCACCTCAGCCTCCCAAGTAACTGGGACTACAGGCACATCCCACCATGCCTGACAAGTCTCTCCTGCATTCAAGCAATCCTCTCACTTCAGCCTCTCAAAGTGCTGGGATTATAAGTGTGAGCCATCACGCCTATTCTGACCTTCTATATCCCTAAGGGGTGGGATGAGAAAAAAATTCCAGGTCTTTGTGAAAAGGGATGATGCAGTGGGCCCAGAAGGTTCTGTTGAATTCTGATGTGAGGCCCTCAGGACTTTATCAGGAAGGAGAGGGATGGGCACTGTTGGCCCCATCCAACAGTGTATATCGGGAAGCCTGAGGCTCTGGTAGAATTGGAATTTTGTTTTCCCTGGAGAAAGTCACACCCAGAATAAAGTGGCCACATATTTCCCTTGCTTCTAAATGGTGAAGGCAAAAGATTAACAGAATTTTCAGAGAAAATGATAACAGTATTTGTATATATATCAAACTATGGTCAAGAAGACAAGAAGCATTATAGAAATTTAACAAATGTGACCCTCTTCTTTTTCCTTCCAAATTTAAATACTCAAAGCATCAAAATGAATGCATGAATAAATACCCCAGACCCTCTTTGATATATCTTAAATAAGAACACAATGTGAGCCGGGCTTGGTGGCTCAGCTTATAATCCCATGCTTTGGGAGGCTGAGGTGAGTGGATTGTCTGAGCCCATGGGTTTGAGACCCGCCTGGGCAACTTGGCGAGACCTCATCTCTACAATAAATCAAAAAATTAGCTGGGAGTGGTAGCACGCGCCTGTAGTTCCAGCTACTTGGAAGGCTGAGGCGGAAGGATCACCAGAGCCCAGCAGGTCGAGGCTGCAGTGGCCAGGAGCGGTCACTGTACTCCAGTCTGGGTGACAGAGTGAGACTCCAACTCAAAAAAAAAAAAAAAAAAAAAAAGAATACAATGTGTTAAAAGACAAATGCCATACACAATCCTACTTACCTCTTGGCAGGATGCAATATTTTGTTTGCTTTGCTTTCTATTTCTCATGTACAGATCAAAAGATTTCTTTTTAAGGTATTCAAATGCTTTTTTCTTTTTAGATAGGGTCTCGCTCTGTTACCCAGGCTGGAATGCAGTAATGTGATCATGGCTCACTGCAGCCTGGAACTCCTGGGCTCCTGACTCTCCCTCTTCAGTTTCCCAAATAGCTGGGACTGTAGGAATGTGCCACCATGCCTAATCTTTTATTTTATTTTTTGTAGAGACAGGGTCTCACTATGGAACCCAGGTCGGTCTCAAAATCCTGGCTTCAAGCAATCCTCCTGTCTTGGCTTCCCAAAGTGCTGGGATTTATAGGTGTAAGCCACTGCACCCAGCCACAAGTGTTTGAACATGTTTATAAGCACATACCTTTGTGTCCAACTTCCTGGAGGTAGATTCCTCTCAATCGCGGCATTTTCAGCAGGCAATCCAAAAGCATCCCATCCCATGGGGTTGATGACCTAGCACCCAGGAGAGAAACATCAGCCATGGCAAATTACTAAGAACTATACCGGTATACTCTTCTGGGCCATAATCAGCATTCTCTCCTGCTAACATGTTTTTTCCTTTGCTGGATATTTCAAACTAAGCATCTGAGAGCCAGCTGGCAACCTTTGATATAAGCCTAGAAGACAATTTAGAAGATTATACACCAAAGTGCCAGCAACAGGAGGTGTTTTCATGAGTACTTTTAATTTTCTTCTTGTCTGTATTGTCTGTAATGAGACCAAATTGTTTTTCTGAAACTAGACAGTTTCTTTCAATTTCTAAAATATGTATATATAAAACGTATAGGCTTTCAAAATGCTCACTTAATGTCAGTATTTTCAACTTAGGGAGCCGTGCTGTCCAATATGGCAGTCACTAGCCACATGTGACTATATTTTACATTTAATTAAAATTAAACAAAATAAAAAATGCAGTTCCTCAATCTCACTAGCCACCTTATCAAGTGTGCAATAGCCACATGTGGCTGGTGGCTACTGAACCAGACAGTGCAGACATAGGATATTCCCAACACGGCAGAAAGTCCTACTGGACAGCGCTGCACTGCACAGGCATAATGACTGTTGTCTACAATGACCTAAGAAGGAAAGTCCACCCCAACCCTCCTTAGTGGCGCGGGTCTCCTCACACATCCCTCAGCGCTGGGCTCTAGCTTGCTGCAGATACCAGGGCTCTGCTCTTTTCCCTTCCTCTACCTCTCTCTCCTCATTAACTGAAGCAACACGCTCTTCTGAAAGGCCCACTCCCCATTTCCTCCTAAAGTCCATTCCTTTCTTCCCTACCAGTTAGGAATGGAACACCCCACCTCTACCCAAACAGTCAGGTAGAAACTAACTTAAAAATATACACAAGAACACAGCAGAAAACAAGCCTGAAATGGTATTCCATAAAACAACTTTTGAGATTGGATAAAAGTAAACCTTTTGATCAAGCACTATATAGCATTCACACTAATTCTGAAAATATATTTTTAAATTAATTGTAAATAGCTATGCTTTTAGTATAAGAAATGTTCCACATATAGTTTCCTCATCTCGCCTCAGTTTCAACATCTGTAAAATGAGAATGATAATAGTAACAAGCCTATCAGATCAAATGAGTTAATAAAAGAAAAGTGCTGAGAACAGTGCCTGCCATGCAGTACAGTGCTGTCTGTAGTTTTGACCATTAGTATTATTATTGTTATTTTTATGGAGTACTGGTTTCTAATCACTTCTTATAAGATATCTCCATTCTCCAAAGAACAAGGAATCACAGGATCTTCCCATCCCCTTATTTGACAGTTCAAGCAACTGTGGCCCAGCAAGAGTGAAACAGCCTAGGAGAAATTACCTTACAATAGGATAGGACAGTAAGGCACTCTTACAGTTACAGTTGAGCTGGCAGTTTCAATAGCAAGTTCTCTCAACCTAACTCACATGCCACAAAAAGGAAAAATGGCTTGAAATATGTGCTGTGGCATCAGGGAACAGCCTCAGAAGGCCAGGCTCTCCGCTCCTGTCAGAAAGACATCCTACTTAAAAAACTCAGTCCCCCACCACTCTCTGCAACTGACTCGAGTCACAAGGACACAGACGCCACTTCGTTCTGAAGCTTGCCTATGTGGGAGGACTGCCCGAGGAGACCCTGATATTTCTTCTTTTTTTTTGAGTTGGAGTCTCACTCTGTCGCCGAGACTGGAGTGCAGTGGCTGCTTCCGGCCACTGCAGCCTCGACCTGCTGGGCTCCGGCGA